CGTGAGTGTTAACGTCAAACTGAGACGCAAACCCTTCCAGAAGCTGCACGAGAGCTTGCCGAGACGGCTCACTTATGTCAGTCCCAGACAAAATGGACGCCCACCATGGTTCATCAGTCACTGCAGCTATCACATCCGTCCGGAACACTTCCGTTCCGCCTAAGCAGATGCAATGCGGGGATACATTAATAGTCGCCCGATGTCGCTGCAAAAAGTCCATACCTAGAATAGCGTCCCACTGTATCGCTGCACAAACGAATGTATGGTCAGTTGTAAAATGTCCGATGCTCACGGAGCAGTCAACTTGCCCCTCCGGATAAAGGGAACCGTTAGCTGAGGACAGCTTGAGTGGCTTTGTGGGTCTAGGGTGTATTCCAGGGAAACTAGAGCAGACGACGGAGCACGAAGCTCCTGTATCCAATAAGAAAGAAACCGAATGCCCGTTGAGAGTCCCTGATATATAAAATGGTGCCCAAGTGCTACGGCTATGTATGGACACGCATAGAAGACAGGCGGAATCAAATGCGGACCTACCGGGCCGAGGTTGTGGACGAATGGGAGGATTGTGACCGCAGCGTTGGGCCCGCTTGCCAAACCGACGGCAGTAGGGGCTACTGGCTGGGGAGAGGTTACAAGGTCGATCAGGGTGCCAGAACGGCGACGCCCCGGAGGTCGCCACCGCGTAGACTTGGGCGGACGACGATTCTCGTCGAGCTAGCTCAGCGGCCTCGAACCCGCGAGCGACTTTCAGTGCCTTCGACAAGGTCGAGTACTGTTTCCGTATGAATTTGGTATACAGTTCGGAATTCGCCACGCCAAGAGTAAACCTTTTCAAAATCTCCAACTCACGTCGTTCGGCGGCTTCTTCCGGAAAAGTCAGTAGGGACAGCTCACGCAGGGCGCCGACACAAGATTCAGCTTACTCTCCGGTGCGCTGCCGCCGGTTCCAGAATGCCTCCAACGCCAAAGCCAGAGGTTGGCGGTACCTAAAAAGCCACTGAAAGGCTTCGAACAGCTTGTCAACTAGGTCTTCAAGCTTCACTCCTGTAGACATTAACTGGCGCAGGGCCGCGTCGTCCAACAAGGAAATCAGGTAGGCACTGGCAGTTTCCGAACTCAGGCCTTGAAGAAAACGCTGATCACGACACGCCCATAGGGAGTAGTCATCTCCGGGATGGAAGGGGTTGGGCGGCTGGAGAGTCGAGCGGCCGACGTCAGCATTCACATGTATGTTAGAGGTGCTGGGACCAGGATTTGGATCGACCGCCGCCCAGGTGGTGAGAGATGCAATATTCGAATCCGAAATATTCACTGATTCCAACTTTACCGCTATTTCTGGTGTTGAACAGACGGGGGCTGGCTTCGTACTCTTGCCTTTCCCCATATTATCCCACCGCTGCCACCAATTTATGTAGCGTGGGTCGACGTGAGCGAAGGATGGACATGAACAAATCAGATGGGTAGTTAGACGCAGCAACCAGAGACAGACGATCCGAACAAACGTGAGCCAAGGCACGACAGAAGACGAGA